CCCCCCTACCCCTCTCTCCTCTCCTGTCCTCCTCTCATTCCGCCTTGACTAGAACTGATAAGCCTCTTCGGTCTCTGTGGCTCTTCTTATACCGGCTACCACCTACCACCTACCAACCATACCACCTAAACAAACAAAACTCCCTTTCACCCCCTTGCGCTGAAAGCCATGCGGTGAACTCATCCCTGCTGTTTTGTGTATGCCTTTGTACCACCTTGTGTTGCTGCCGCGGCATTTCTGAGGGGGTCTCCCCGACCTCGATTGCGCCCTTGTTTACTACCTACCAACCTCCTGTTTGATACTTACCTGTTCGCCCTTCCTTCCTCCCTTCCTTCCCTCTTCTCCACCCACGATGAGGCAGCCGGAGATGTCCCATTCTGCTGCCCACCACCAAGGTGACAACCCACTCATCACCGCTTACTTTCCCGACTCTATACCTGCCGCTCCTCCCGCTGCACATCTAACCTCGGACTCACCTCCATTATCGCCCACCCAGCGTCATCTCCACGGAGTGGAGAGCTCCCCTCCGTCGGATCGGGACTCCGGTTACGATACCCTTCACCCTCAGCCGTCAGACTCCCATACGCAGCAGTATCACCATCCTTCCCGCCGGCGGAGTATCCCCAGCCCGCACCAAGGGTCCGTGGACACTGGATACCCTTCCAGTGCGGAGCCCATTATCGTGCCAGAGACCGTCGTCGCGGCGTCGCATCTGGAGAACGGCTCCCTGGTAACCCGAGCTTCGATGACGAGCGAGGCGGTGCGCAAAGAAGGGCGCGGTCGGGGCAGCTGGACTGACCATTCCTCGTATATGTCGGGCGACAACCACATGAATGGCGCGGCTCGAGTGCATAAACGAGCGATCGTGGAGGACATCACCCCTGAGGAGGAAGAGCCTGATGCGCTCCTCATGTTGGTACGTCTGCTTCCTTCCCGATGGTTCGTCGTATCGTGGCGCAAGCCGTGGCTGACCGCTTCCCTTTGTGCAGTTCCGACTCTCCATCCCTGTTCCTGTCTTCTCCTTTATCGCATCCCTGTATACCGTCTTCGGTCTTCTCTTCGTCCTCCTCGTTTCCCCGCTCCGCCTCTGTTCCTGCATTCGATACCTGCGAAATACGTCTTTCCGTGCCCAACTATGCGACCTTCTAGTACCGCAGTTACACATCCACGAGCGGTTGGTCTGCCTGCGACGGTCGTCGAGGCGATCGGCATCCACGCAACCGATCTATGATCCGGAGGGGTCGTTTTTGGACGAGCCGATAGAATCATACACGATCGGCGGGCTGATCTCGGTCCTGCTGCTGTCGCCCTTCTTTTCGATCGCGATTCTCCTGCCCGCCTGGATCGCCGCATTCTTTTGGATCTTCTCCATGGTGATGGGCAACCCCGACGGCACGGAGCGTAAAGACGATGGTCGCGCCGCGGTCCTCGGAGTCAGCAGATGGTGGCACTTATGGCTGGGGAAAGCCCGGAAGTCGCCGTCCTAGGGCACCGCGCGGTTACGCCACGTGTAGATTGCCTGTTCTTTTTTTTTTATTTTCTGATTCTGTTCTATCAAGCGTCATCTCGTTTGGGCTGTTTCTTTGATGCATGCATGATACCAACGTTTGGGATATGTGGAATGATTTTTCTTTTTGGTGAGTGGGCGCTATCTGGATTATAGGATTAGTTTTATCTTCGACAACCATACATTTTACCTTGCCAGCCGATTATTGCTGGTTAAGATGATTCACTTGTGCTGATCGATGTCTGGAGAGAAGTGTTTCTTTTGCCGTAGAAGTAGAAGAGCTTTAAAGTGGATGTGGTTGCAAATTTGCGGGGGGTGGTGGCTTCCTTACCGTCTTCTAGAATGAATTGCTTTTGTTTGTCTGAACCTTAACCAGAAGGAGGACCTAGTACCCGTGACTCTTCGAGTCGTCTTCCCCGCGCAACCAGCCAATCATACCTTGTCAACATACTTCATTTATGTTGCGGACGATCACAATCTCAATTCTGAGGTTGAAATGAAAAGTACTCGTAGATGTAATGTACTGTAGGAGATAAGATAATCGGGATCGATCCCCAAACTATCGTGAAACGCGACAAAACTCAGGGGTGTGTGTGTGGAAACGGCCGGGGCGATGGCTGGATGGGTGGATGATCCCCCAGACGTGGGGCACCCGCCCGCCCTAACCCACCCTCACCCTCACCCTCACCCTCACCACCACCACTACTCCTAATTTATAGGTACTGTAAACTATCCACCCCCCCCGGCCGGTGCCTTATTTATTGAACGAAACGAATAGGACCAAGACACTTCACAAGCAGCCACAGGTAGAAAACAAGACTGGGACTGTCTGCCTGTACTGTATCTTATTATGTCTATTCTTTTTTCGTAGCCAGTAACCAGCAGCCAGTAGCCAAGAACACCACAGAGTGTGAACCAGGCTGGTACCCTTCCTGATCTCAGTCAGGCGTGCACCCACCCCAGCTCACCTAGAGATCATGCTCGCTTCCCATCACGAGGGTATTACTCCCTAAAGCGGCAGGGGCCGTGTACTGCCCTGGTAGGTGTGGTCGCAACAGCTAGAAGTCACTCCGGGAAGTTCTAGTTTCGGGTTGATCTCGACCCTATTTCAGATCCTGTGGTGGGGTAGGGGGGGGGGGGGGGGGGGCGGGGTGGGGTAGGTGGGGTAGGGGGGGGGGGGGGGGGGGGGGGGGGGGGGGGGGGGGGGGCAGTGACTTACTTGGAGGGAAATGGCGCTGCCCTTTAATAGGGGTGGAGGTATGGTAATTGAGCATTAGGTAGGTTGGTGGCTAGTTTCGCTTGAGATGGGTATGTGAGAATCGGAAGATGGAGATAAAGGCTTAGGGCCTGTATCCCTCGGGGTGAAGCATTAACTGTCTATATGTGTAACTGTCTCTCTCTCTCTCTGTGTGTGTGTGTGTGTTGCGGGTTAGCCGATAATCAAGTACGATGATAGGCTTCTGTCACGATGCCTGGATGATTCTTCCAGGAGATGAGACTGCCATCACGCCAGTTGACATGAGGGTGGACCGGACGACTCATACACAGTTAGCCACAGGTCTTGCGCATATTGCTCTTCAGTCTCCAGTGGTGCAGACACCCACTCATCACTTGAAGGAGTTACAGTCCTTTTTCGATGTCCTAATAGTGAAAGTGAAAGGAGTTCAGAGTGCTATCAGTGAAGCAGGATCAATCAAATTGAGCATCTGATATCCAGACTAGAGATTATAGACAGACAACAGACTAGACACATAGACAGTAAGACAAGACAGAACAAGACAAAGCAAGACGAGGGTATAAAGATACCAACATTTCAGAAGAGATCGACAAGAACGAGAAACAGAAACAGAACCAGAGTAAAACATTCTATGTCGTTCGGACAAAACAGAAAGGAAAATTTTCATTATGCTTGAGAATCTCCCCAGAGAAGACTGCAGCAGCACAACTTGATCTCTCGTGGGAAACTCAATAGACGGAACGTGCTTTTGTTGGAAAAGTTTCGAAGAATGCAAACAAACAAACTGTACTTGTTGTGTGGTTGTAAATGCGTATCAAGATATCGGCGAGAATCATTTCACAGAGAAAATAAAAAATAAAGTCCTAATTCATGTCGGACCGTTCCCTTACCCCTATCCCTCGGCTCCGAACCTTGCCTTTTTTCCACCCCTCCTCGCTGTCACATATTGACCAGCCTGGATTACCTCCTCCAACTGACTTATCTTCTGTTTCCACGGAACCCTCCACTACCACGGAATCCGCCTCCGCGGCCACCACGGCCACCACCGCGACCACCACCACCACCACCGCCGCCGCGGCCATTGGGTCGACCGCCGCGACCATCCCGACGCTTCTCAATGCGACCACCACCGCTGGGGCCGTGGGACTTGGGCACGCCCAGACCACGACGCCCGGGGCCGGGCCGCGAGCTGGTCGCGGCCGCGACGGCGGCGGTGTCATCCTCATCCAGATCCATGTCGTCGCCACCACCACCCTTCTTCTTCTGCGACTGCGCCATCCTGAGCTTACCGCGCTGACCGCGGCGGACGGCGTCAGGACCACTGACGGCCTGGACGTAGGCGTTGATGCCGCTCTCCCCGCCGTTATTATCGTCCAAGGCGGTGGAAACGTCCCCTTTGTCGTCGTCGTCACCTAGAAGGAGACGGCCGTCGGGGCCGAACTTGGCGTTCCGCTTCTTCCGGGATCCAGGGCCCGTGTTGAGGAAGCGCACACTGGGTTTCGTGGTCGAGATGCTGGCCAGGGCGTCGGGCGCGAGCAGGTCGAGCGGGTTGTCCTCGGGGGAGAGCTCGCGGATGTACTGCTCGCTCTGCTTGGATCTCCGGCCGTTGTTGCTGTTGCTGTTCTGGTTGCCGCGACCGCGACCGCGGGCGTGCGTGCCACCTTGCTCATCGACGTCGATCTCGCTAGCGTCGTCGTCCGAGTCGGAGAAATCGGAGTCGTACACAGCCTTGTCGAAGGCGTTGCTGTAGGTGCGGCCACCCTTGGCGTTGTTGTCGGCCCCACCGGCGGCACCAGCATTCTCCTCGTCCTCGTCCTCGTCGCCTTGCTCGCCCTCCTTTCTCTTCTTCTTGCGGCGCTCGCGCTGCTTCCGGATGTTGACCACCAACTTGCGGTCGGCTTCGCCGACCAGCTCCTCAATCGGGGCGGCGCCGAAGCGGCGGATCAGGCGGTCGAGAATACCCTTGACCTTGCTGCGGAGACGACCCTTGTGCTCCTTACTCCAGACCATCAGGTTGGGGACCAGGCTGCTCAGGCGCGCACGGAGATCCTCATCGGACAGAACCACAACCGCGACCTTGACAAAGCCCAGGACGGATCGGACGATCTCACGGTTGTTGCTGGTAAGGAAGAGCTCCACGGTCTGCACAAGATCGGTGCTCATGGCACCAGAGAGCTGAGTGTGGAAGTCGAAGAACAGGCGCGACAGAGCCGTGACGGACGCGGCAACCATGTGAGGTGAGCTACCGGCCAGACCAGCAGAAACCATGGTGAAGAACTCCTCAATGGTGGCGGGGGCATCGGGGGCGTTGTCGGGCATGTGAGGCACAAGGGAGTTACGGATGACGGTGCCAGCCGGGTTGCGTTCCGAGTCAGTCGCTCTCTGCGCAAGGTGGATGAGCAGGTCGAAGGACGCAGTTCTGGTCTTCTCGTTGCTCTCTTTGCAACCCAGGACAACCTCAGAGAGAACGGCGGGGATGAAGTGCAAGTCAGAAGTGGGCAGGTAAGTGATAAGCTCGTGAACAGCCAGCATGCGGTCGCGGCGGGCAGACGACGGTGTCTTGTCGGCGGTAGACAGGATCAGGGTCTGAAGTTCACCACTCCGTTCTTGGAGCGCGGCTTTGCCAGCATCCGTCGTAGCAAGACGGGGAATGAGCTTGTAGGCCTTCTTGATCAATTGCTGATCACCAGTCTGTCCGTTGAGAATGGCCGCAGCCATGGCAAACAAGCTGGCAAAGCTAGAACGCGGCAGATAGATGGACATAGCAATCACGAGATCGATCAGAGTGTGGGAGGTAGGGGGCATCTTGTTGCCAGAGCTGGGCTGCTGGGTGCCCTGCTTGGCTTCTTCCTGCTCGGAAACCACAGAGGATTCGAGCATAGACGCAACACGCGCAAAGGTTTCATTGAGCTCCTGCAAGATTGTCAGTTGATAGGTCATAGTTGTTCGAGACACGTTCGCTTTACCTTCTCGGGGGTAATGCTCAGATAAGCATTGATACACTGAAGAATGAAGCCTCTGTAGTGGGGAAGAGTCTGGCTGTAGACGTTGAACAGAACCGCCAACAAGTTGCTGGCAAAGCCGGCCAGATGGGCAATGTTCTTGGCAGCCATTTCCTTGGTGATTCTGCGCTGAAGGATCAGGTCATCGCCCTCCTCTTCAAGGGACAATATGGCCTGGTTGGACTCAACCAAGTTCTGCAGACCACGACAGATGTCAACACGCAGCTCCGTCTGCTTGTAGAGAACGTTGGAAAGAAGCTCAGCAAAGCTCTGGTCGAACGACTCGATCAAGTCCAGAGGAAGCTCGCAGTAACCGGGCAGGATAGCCCAGGTCTGCTGAACGAGGGTCTCGAAGATCTTCATCTCCACATCCTTCTCGGCGGAGCTGTAGGCCATGACCTTCTGGTACAGAGCTTCACTCAGGGGAACGAACTCAGAGCGGAAGTGAGAAAGGTTAGTGTTGGTGACGTTATCACGAAGAACAGGGAGGAACCAGACACGACCGGGCTGGCCGGGCTTCTGGGTGATGATGTTCAGAGGCAGAATCTCCAAGACTGCCGCGGGACCCATGGCCTCAATAGCACTACCCAGGACATTATCCGCCTCCTTCTTTCCGTGGAACGACTCGTTGGTGCGGAGCTCACCGATCGTCTTGACAATGTCATCAAGGAAGGGGCTCGAGCGCCACTTGAAGCTGTCGAACATGGCCGCGCAAACATTGAACACTTCGGCCCAGGCGGCCTGATATTTCACAGAGAGAAGGTCCATAGCAGCCTTAGCCAGCTTCTCGAGTGTCTTCTCATCGTAGACCGAGGGCTCGATAATAACATTCTTAGGAATGCAGTTTGCAAGGAACGAGACCAAGCACTCTGATGCGGACACACGAATGTTGCGCGAGGGGGAGGCGAGATAGCCGGAGATCATGTTGAATAGGCCAGGGAGCTTCTCGAAGGTATCCTCGGGGCTGGTTTGAGCGGACACATCGTATCCGCGCGACAAGACGGCGATCCAGGGAGGGAGCAGCTGCGAGTCGTTCTGTGCGGGCTTGAGGTCGGTGATCGCCTCCAGCAGGCGAGGAAGCTTGGAGGACGAGAAGTCGTTGGCCATGCTGGAAAAGATGACCTCAAAGACCTCGAAGGCGCCCATGGTGATATACTCGTTGGTAGACCGGGAGGCGTTCATCAGGAGCTCGCACAGCGGCTCAATCTTCTTGCTCGGCCAGCCGCCTGAAGCGACGGCAATCGTCTTGACGAGTTGCAGGGAGTGGATGACGAGAGGGTCGTGGTTGTCCCGGTTCTGGGGGTCGTTGCGACCACGCTTCGCCTTGGCGGCCGCCGCGATGCTATCACCCAGAGTACGCATAGCAGTCTCCGCGCACATGTCGGCAGCCGGGTGGTCCAAAGAGGGGCTGGGGGGAGGGGTCTTGAGGACCTTGATCAAAGCATCCTGGGCACGTCTCCGGACCTTGGGGCGGTGATCAACCGACAAGCTCAGCAAGCCAGCCATGGCCCGACGGGGGCTGATTTGGGTGTGTGGGAGTTGCCAGGCCGCGACATCTTGGGCGACGAGGAGAGACTCGAGACAGCCGATCGACGGACGGAGGAGCGGGGCTTCGACTTCGGGCAGGGAGAGCGCCGGCGCGAGACTGGTCAGGATATGAGAGAATTTGGAGCGAAGGATCGGTGCAGGGACATATGTGGTGGTGATGTCGAGCAGATACACAACGGATGTAGCGAGGTCCTTGTTGACAATGCCTTGGGTAGCGGAGATCGACTGGCCAAGAAGCGCCAACAGCGCGGCGAAATAAGCTGTGGCAGAAAAATCGGCTTTCTGATCGCGGAGTGTGTCTTCAACTGCAGAGAGCACGACAGCCGTCTAGGAAGAATGGTCGTCCTGGTCAATAACGTTGTGTCGCGAGGAAGATTGGAGTAATTCCAGATCTTGAAGCCGAAGAGACGAGAATTTGACGGGGGGGCCTTACATGTTGCTGGTTCTGCAGCTTGGGAGACTTGATCTTCTCCAGCTTCTCCGCCAGGGTCGCCATGATGAAACGATCGACCAACAGGCAGTTGAGAAGACGGTCAGAGGATCTGGGATGGATTGGGAGGAGGGGGAGGGTTTGAAAGAAGTCGGTGGATGCGGAGATTTTTTTTGTGGTCCGGCGGCGGGATCTTTTGGAATGGTGAAAAAAAGGTACGGGCGGTTCTTGGCGCCGTTTATCGATAGAGCGCGATAACAGATTCGCAGCGGAGAAGAAAGAGACTGGATCACGACTGCGGTGGATTTCTCATCGCTGTCTACTAGGTATCATATTCTATTGTCGGTTCATTTGTGATTAATTGGCGCGAATCCAGTCTTAGCCTACATGAGCAATATTCTTAGCCAGAGCCCCATTCCTTCTTTACACTTTGGGCAACTGAATGTAAAATGTCGGAAAGAGCAAAGAAAACCAGAATAGATAGAAGTTCTAATAAGACATGAAAATCGTCATAACATGACCATCATCCACACTAGCTGACCGGAACATCAGAGACGATAGCCTGTGCTCTCGTTCAGTCTTCACCACACACACACACACAAACACACACGCATATATGGTTCACCTTTCAGCCAATTATCCGCGAACCCAGCTCATCTCTCGCTCCCATGGAGAGATCGACGAGCTCTCACAGCCATTGGGAGAGTCGTCCGCCAGCCCTACACCTTCTACACAGCTATTCAAAATCGCCGCCCGGGCAAGGGATCAGCGGCAAGCGACCTGTCTCCCTGCAAACGGTCCCTGAAGGGCAGCTGGGGGTTGCAACAGGCCATAAGCCAACTGGCACCCAAGCTCCCACATCCCGCCCCTCGGAATCCAACCTGATGTTTTGCTCTCATCTCTGTGGCAAACAGCGTGGCCGACGCAAACCGCCGTGCAACGGAATGCGATGGAAATGGTGGGGTTCAGGGCAGTCTCTAGAATAAGATCTCCCCGCTGTGTTCTGGCTCGAATCCCAAGGTCTGTAACTTGCCGTGTCGCTTCTTGTCGTTGGATTTGCGCTTGATCTCCTCTTGCTTCTTCAATTCGAACACTTCCTGGAACGACGCTCGTTGGAGGTGAGGGGGCACATCGTCTTCTTTGTCGAGGTCCTGCGATGATAGAATCTCGGGTCAGTCACAAGCTCGTACACAAGATACAAAATATCAACCAGTCTAGCCACCCCCGAGCGAGTAGAGAAGAAGGCATACAATCTCTCCGAGAAGCAATACGTTCTCGCCACGGACAAGGAAGATGCCGCGCGGGATGTCGGCGTACAGATTCCCCGAGTAGAGGCGTTCGATGGTATCTTGGAGAACGAGGTTGGCTGCATAAGAGAGGCAATGAGATTGTCGTTCCCAAATCGCAAAGCAAGCAGAAGGCTCTCCAGAGAGTTGCCCGTGCTTTGCTTCAAAAATGTGTGTGTGAAGGCATACCGAACTGATCCCAACTTCTCAGGACGCCAATCAACTTCCTTCCGTCACGCAAGACCAAAACAAGCTTCTCTGGCGTAAGTGTCAGCTTTCGTCCACCAAGATCCAAGCACTTCCTCCTCTAGCGGCGAGAGCCCGAGTCGCAGGCGGAAATCACGTACTGTCGGTCAAATCCAATAATTGAGCCGCTGTGGTGAACATCTGCGGCGGCAGCTGCGGGGGACCATGCGTCATGGGTCCGAGGGTGTTGTTGTTCTGGGGCGGGAATCCCTGCGGCGCATTGCCCTGAGGGCCACCGGCGGGGGGCTCGTTGATCGAGAGGCGTTCCATTGTCTTTTCCTGGATCTTCACACCGAGATGATGTGAGGGGAAAGTATTGGTGGGTGGGAATTGGGGTGGGAGTTTAATCAGGGCCGTGTCAATTGCGGGGGTTCGCTCAACTTCGGAGATGCGGGCGCAATCTTAATGGTCAATTCTATTTGCACAGACTCAGTAAGAAACGGCTATGAAGCTCTCATTCTGCGCTAGGAAGCAATCTCCAGCGCTGGGGCTTTTGAGGTGGGATGGAGAGCATACAGCACTGCATCGGCGAAGTTGTTGGTGCGAACGGAAGGAGGTGTTTGCTCTGTTTGTTCGGTGCAGTCGTCATTCTATCATGTGGAGTCTATCAAGACATGGTCGCTCGAATCTAAAGCTCAAAGATGGAGCTCACGCTAGTTTATATACTCTGAAGAGCAAAGTTTATTTCTGGGCTCTATACTCATATACGTTTACTCCACGTACTATATGTGGCGAGCCGTGACGTTGCAGGCTCTTTACGCTTGCATGCGATACACGCTACTTGATTGATCCTCGTGTCATAACACCACTACGAACGACCGGAATATACTTCTGCTGATGGAAAGCTCAATCTGTTTCAGCTGACAGCATGATAAATAGCCCGTCCTGAGAACAAAACTCGGCGTGACCGAAGATCACCATACGCTGAAGACAAGACATGAGAGAACAGCTAAGAGAAACATCTACAAAAGTGCTCAAGGCAAGGCAGGGACCATTAAGCCTAGACAGAAACACTGAGTGCGAGGATATGAGAAAAGCTCGCCGGTCGCCTCATCAACCCACTCGACACATCTAATAGAATTCAAACCACACTCACCCCTCGCCGCTGTCCGCGCATCCGCTCTTCTCGGCGCCGACTGTACGGCGCGCAATACGGCTCGTCGGACGAGCCGATATTTGCCCGGACCGATTCGTGCGACTGGTGGTACGCTGGACTCGACGGCGAAGGGGGCAATTGCATCGCCTTGAATTGGTCCACGCTGATGATCCGCTGCCCATAGAGGTACTGCATCAGCTCGAAGTCGGGCCGGCTGCCGGCGAGGGACTGGCCTTCTTGGTAGTGGGCCGAGTCCACGTGGTCGAGCATAGCGTCCCAGGCCCCCAGATCGGCCGTGTCGTGGAATTTTGCCCCCTCTCCGGTGCACAGGGGGCAGCGGGCCGTCTTGGGCGGCGCATGGGTCCGGAAATGGCTCAGGACGTGAGTTCGCCAGTCGTGCGCATTGTCGAATGCGATGTGGCAGTCGAGGATGTGGAACAGGCAGAGGTAGGGATAGTGACGATCGTGACTGTCATCGCGAGCCGGGACGATGAGAGCCCCCGTTCCATCATCTACCAAGAGCGCATGGCCTGCAAGATTGGATGCCCACCGCGTGTCAAGGGACATGTCGGATGAGGATGCTGAGTGGGATGCGGTGTCGTTCAACAGGGACGGCACAGCCGACATGGTGTTCCAGTGTACGTCTCTTTCGTACGTCTGACTGCGATCTTCTGTGATGAACCTATACTCGGTGCACCGAAGCTCGATTTAGAAGAAGAGTATATGGGTGGTCTGGCCGATAGGAAGCTCTTGGGCGGCCACCGAGGTGCGTTGGAAGCGCTCCCGAACGGAACGCTGGGGTTACGCTATCCTATTCTGCGAGCAGAGGGTGACAAGCAGTCTTGTTCTCGCCACATATTTATTAGCCTGGAGGTTGTGAGAAGAAAGCAAAGAGCTTGCAGTTTATTCGGTATGGGAGGGGGAGTGGGTTCGGTCATATAGTTGGCCGCCGCGCGGTCGCCCAAGGCGGGGTTACAAACAAAGTGAAGCGCCCACATTCAGGCTGGGAAGGAAAAGAAGAGAGATGGAAGACAGCATTCATCTTTGGGCTTACCTTGAACACCGTGACAATCCCAAACTCCCTGTTACATCAACACCGACATTTTTCGTTGTAGTAGCCGCGGGAAATTGTCGCATGGTTCAACATGTTGGACCTTCTAGTTAGGAGCTTCGGTCTTTGTTCGGCAGGAAAAGCGGGGAGGGGAAGGCCTAAGTTAGTCAGTCAGCTAGTCAGTCAGTCCGCCGGGAATTAAGTGTAAGTAGTTCAGGTAGTAAATAGAGTATGTAGTTACCTAGTCGACGGCAAACAAGTCAATGGGTACAGTACATTGATTGTCAAGGTCTACTTGTAGTCAGAGAAGTACTATAGTACACTAGAGTACCTTCTCCTTCCTAGGGCCAAGTCACCCGGGCCCTGGGTAAGGTAAGCGCAGTGAGTGTGCTACATGAACCCGATGACACAAACATGCATTTTGCTTATTTAGTCTTGGTCATGGGAGCAGTGGGCTCCGGTGCATTTTCCGAGGATCCCGGTGAAGAAAGCTGGGATGCCTTTGGCAAGGGAGAAAATATGAATTGCATCGGCAGCAGCAGCAGCAGCATCGAAATGATCTCTAGATGGCTCGGGCTTGAGAAGCGGCTTCTCTGGCCGACACTCTATTAGACAAGAGGTTTGTTGTTTGTACAGTACACCTTACGATTATAAACATACTTTCATCTAGCCTTTCAGGGTATAGTTGGAACTCCACTGTATTAAGCCCGGACAGGAGGGCATATATGTTTCCATATCTGAAAATCAATATAGGTCTTTGAGTTTACTATACTACTTATGTTACCCTCACCACCTCCACTGCAATTACCATCATATAGGCGTTGAAATTGTTACTTCGTAATTGTTCAGCGAAATGCAGTGCAGTTTGAGAAGCAGCAGCAGGTGGATGAGATCAGTGACGACGGCATGCTGCCGTGTATCACGCCGCGAGTTCCGCAGGCAGAACTTCCCGAAAGTGATTGCATTTCCTCATAAGCAGAGCCTTAAATGGATATCCGGAGTGATTGGATGACGGTAACAAAAGTACTAATATAACACGAGCTGGGAAAAATCTACTACAAACCGGCAGTCACCATACCATACCATACTTCATGAAAGCGACCAGTCATCCACATTCGTCTTGCAGACTTCGCCCTCCCAACAAAAGGCAGTCCCGAGAGTTAGCACTCACCTCCCAAGCATCCAAGAATTTAGCAGCCATTGAATCTTCGAGAGGGGTCCTCAGTATCGACCCAGACTTCGACAAGGTTTTAGTGACTATGCTGGCCGGCTAATTGATTGGCTGTTCGATGTCGGCATTCCTGTATACAAACTTGGTTACATGAGTAAACTTCCACGTCACCCGTGTCTTACGCATCGAAGAAGTCATGCTGGGCATCCAACGACCTCACATCAAAGCTCGCATACTACCCAGGCTTACTGTGAGCTTCACAAAAGATTGTCATTTATCCCAGCAGGTCCGATCGACACGTAATCGGCCGGTTGACACAAGTAGTAGTCACTACTTCAAATACACCTCTGGTCGGTGGCTTATCAATGGGGCGCACCAACTCCAAACGCGCCATGTCAACTTCAACGTGCCAGCGCTACAGCGGATTGCCGGTCAATTGATGGGAAGCCGATGTGTTCAAATGGACAAGATGCCCGAGGGGCTTTTCAACAAGGTGTTTTCTTTGCAGATGGAGAATGGGAAGGAGATTTTGGCGAGAATCCCGAACCCGAATGCCGGCCATGCCCATCTTGTTGTGGCAAGTGAAGTCGCCACACTTGACTTTGTACGTTGGTGCCAATCCTCCGGTCCCTTGTCGCCGCAGTATTTTCCTGATATGCAAGAAATCCCATTGAAAGCTCCGAACCGTTCTCAAGATACCGGTCCCCCGTGTTATCTCGTGGAGCTCTTCCCCGGAGGTGAACCCCGTCGGTGCTGAATACATCCTAATGGAGAGGGTGGAAGGCCAGCAGCTAAGCGATGTTTGGGACGATATGTCCGAAGCTCAACGCTTCGGGCTTGCAAAGAGCTTAGTGGGGATCGAAAGGAAGTTGGTGAACGCAAAATTCGCCTTGCATGGCAGCCTGTACTACCGAGATACATTTCCACGGGGAAGAGGCATTGCTGCCCTGGAAATAGCAGACCAAGAGGGCCCATCCAAATTCGTTCTGGGTCCGACCACGCAGCGGTCCTTCTGGGGAGACGAGGAGCGCGGATTGGAGATGGACAAGGGTCCGTGTGAGTGTTAATCGTTGTCAATCTCTATCCCAGGGAAATCGAGCACTGAAACTGGGGAAATCAGGGGAAACGGCCCAGGAGTATTTCGCCGCTATCGCAAAGCGGGAGATATCACGTATACGGACTGCACACGGCAGATCCAGCAGTGTCACTGCACCTGTGGGCAACACGCGACGAAGGCGTGATGCTCACATCCAGCTCCTTGAGCAATTTCTAACCGTGCTGCCCTACATCCTACCACGCGAAGAGATCCTTACGCCGGTCCTTTTGCACTCGGACCTCCATCACCATAATATCTTCGTCGATCCGTCCAATCCCACTAAAATCTCCAGCATAATCGACTGGCAAACCGTCCACACCGCCCCATTGTTCATGCAAGCGAGGTTCCCTTCGATCTTCAACTGCGACGACATATACCCATGGGGAGCGGTCCAACCCAAGCTACCCGAGGATTTCGAAACCCTCTCGGCGGCCGAAAAACGACAAGCGGAAGATCAGCTTGACCGGCTCCGATTGAAAAAGTTCTACGAGCTGGCGTCACGGAAGTTCAACCCGGCGCTTATCGATGCGATGGACAAGATGCGAGATGATAGTGACCCGACTACTTTCCTATTTCATATTGTCGAACGGTCTTCCGAGGACGGGCTAATGCTATTGAAGGAACTGTTGATCCAGGTGTTTGAGCAATGGGCTTGTATTATGAAACGGCGAGGCTCCACCGAAACGTGCCCTATCTCATTCTCGAGAACCGAGATCGAAGAGAGTCGGCAGCAGGTCGGAGCCTGGGCAGCCGCGTTTGGGGAATATGATGGTCTGCGGGCGGAACTGCTCGGTGACGATGGCTGGGTCTCCCATGATGACTACGAGGAAGCGAGGAGCAGGTGGGAGAAGAACAAGGCGACTCTGGAGAGCTTACGGGAACGATTGGAGACCTTGCTCTGATATCTGCCCCGGACAATCGGAGTAGATCCAACAGAGAGATCGAGTGAAATGCGTTTCAGGGTAAACCCAAGCCATCAAACTCGCATATCGAGCTTGACCGTGAACTAGTCCGGATACTTACATCACGCATGTACAATCATCTTTCTTTTCTTCTACGACTTGTCAAGATTTCCAGGCCAGGATTCCCCAATAGAGTTAGACCCTATAAGCCAGAGCAATACTTCTTCAGCCTTATCCAACCCAATCTTGCAGTCTACTACTCTGTCAAAAGCAGTCCTCGACTTGAAATTCCGCAAAGGAGCAGTACCAGAATTGGATAAGCAGGTTTACAGTAACCCTGCAGTACATGTGAGCTCCCGCAACGCTCATATGAACCGAACCCCCCGCCATACTCTACGTGACTCTTAAGTAAAAACAATGATCTATGAAACCCTACCAATTTGACCATCTCCTACTGTGGACATCTCATCATCCTCGAAAGATCAGATCTCCCTGACGGAGAACCAATAATAATAGAAAAAATAATAGTAAGTATTCCCGAATCAAAGGCCCCAATGTATGATGATGGACCCTTCAAATCTCAATCTTTCAAAGCAAAAAAAAAGTAGCTATCAGGTAGTAAGGTGTAAGATCCACTAGAAAGACAAAAAAAAAACAAAGGTAGTATAGGATAGATCCCATCTCGAGTATATGTAATCGAATCAACTCACTCTCACTTCCGAAATGACATAATCAGACTGCGTCCCAATCGAACTTTTGTACCGCACGATCGAGATAACTACGGTAACGAGGTCGGCTGAGCTGCTTCCTGTAGGTTCGTTGACTTATACCCTAAGTAAGATAGAGTACAGCACCCGTGACCTAGGTAGTCCTTGATTATCCGTTTCCAAGAGCCAATCCCAGGCCGAGCGCATATCTTTAGGCGCCCTTGCTACTAAAATCACTAGGTCACCCACTAAGTTACTACTAGTAGCCTTCAGGTACACCTCCTTGATTGACTTGCCAATCCGGATCACGCGATCGCGGCCTCCCCATGGCCAACTGACACGGGCCAGACCTTTCCAGGCTATCGTCTCAGTGCCAGAACCGGTTTCGCAAGTGTTACGAAGCCTACAGAAATACAAAGAACTGTACTAAAGGATACTAAAGTGGGCCCATGATATGTATTGTTTCCAATTAAGGTTGATGTATATTGTTGTAATTCCTCTCGTCCTGCTCGAGGTGGTCTATAGCGAAAATAGCGAAGAATGAAGGAACAAAAGTCAGGTCTATCAATGTAACCCAGAATGGAAAGAAGGAAAACAATCGGAAGCAAGAATGGTAGTCGGTATTTTTCATCCTCGTGGCTACAAGGACCACGAAAGCTGGGCAGCGAACCCCGCTGCTCAGGTTTGGAGATAGGAGATAGGAGATGTTCCGAGAGGAGAAGGGGGAATGTGATCAGGAGATCAGACACTGAAGTGAGAATCAGAAGGGACAGAAACAATTCACAAGATATCCCATCCATCTATTGGTAGTGACGCCTCGCAAAAGAGTACAAAGAAGTGTATAAGAGCCATGAGTCCAAAGCAATGTAAAAATAATAAAGAAAAAAACCACCCAACCAACTGACACCGATGATGCCCATGAACCATTGTAAATGCACAAGTCTATTCGGTCGTAGCACGCATGAAGATATAATGCTTTTTTGTCGGAATCCAACTTTACAAACCCAAGTGTATCGGCACGGGGGTCGATCTAAAAGGCACGATCGGCCAGATCGCCGCCCGCGACTGAGTTGGCGGTGGACGAGGTGACCGAGGAAAACCCACTGCCAGGATTCAACATATCCTGGACTGCCACTTTCGGTACCTGAGGAACAGGTAGCTTGCGCTGTGTGCCATCGGGTTTGGACATGATATCGGTGATGCTCGGACCATGACTCTGACTGGGGCTGTAGTAACTGGGACCCTCCGGTTGTGGCTCCATGGGAGCCAGGGCGGGGGTGTGGTGAAGCGACAAATGACGAATCGAGGGAAGGTGTAGATCGCTCGATCCCAGAGGTCTCAGCCGCGGAGAGTGGGCGGGGGTAGCCAAAGGCGTGTGGTCAGGAGTAGGTGAAAGGGAGTCATGCGAGAAGGTGGGCGAGGATGGAGCGGTCGAGTTGGGCGAATTGGGCCTGGAACGCTTCACACGATGGGAATAACTATCGTCTTCTTCATGCGAGTGCGACCGGCTCATGTTATGCGTGATCGCGTAAGCCGAGAGAGAAGGCAAACGACCGCTGCCGTGGTGACGGGAGCTGCTGAACAAGTGGTGATTGCGAGGGCCGGCATGGAAGCTGAAGTGGTCGTCGCGCTCCACCTGCGAGGCAGCGGTGGCAAGGAGATTGATGTCCATGCCAGAAGATGCCCGCTCGGTATTGCGGGCGTAAGGCCCCAAGTTGGAGCGCATGTGGTTGGCATAGTTGGAGAAAGAGTGGGGAGGGGAAATGTCGGGAGAGCCAACTTGCGAAACAGGCGCAGAGCGAGTCATCGGCTTGCTGGGAGGGGGCATCAGGGCCCCTGCATTGTTGGGCATCGCATTCTCCTGACCAGCTGCGGCCGCGGCAGCCGCAGCGAGATGCTGAGCCTTGTTGCTGCGCCTCGAGTTGGGGTTGTTGTGAATTCGCGAGTGGCGAGTCAGTTCGTCAGAGCGACTGAATCGCTTGGTGCAGCCGGGGAACTGGCACGCGTGGGGCTTCTCGCCCGTGTGGGTGCGGATATGTCTCGTTTGGTGCTCCAAGCGGTGGAAGGCACGATCACACAGCGGGCACTTGTACGGCCGAGGAAGATCTTGGCGCACTTCTTCGGTCGCAGGACGGCTACCCTTCATCAAAGGAGGGAGAAGACTGACGGACGAAGCCATAGTGGAAGTGGATTGAGCGCTGGACGGAGTAGAAGGACCCTTCGAGCTATCCACAGGGGTGGCAGGTGAGGACGGAGTAGACTCAGTCGAATTGCTCTGAGGATTCAGCAGATTGGAGAAATCCACTGAAGAGGCCGGTGGCGGCATGTGAACTTTCTCTTGAGATGGGGAGAGAGAAGGTAGTGTAGTGAGAGGTAGGACAGAGCCGGAATGTAAAAACCCGTTCGGAAGGGATGAGCAGCCGAGGCGATAGGCCGTGTGTCGCGACCAGGGGGAGGGGGGAGGAACAAGGAGCTTATATCGGCAAGTCGATCACCACCCGCTAGTATAAACCACCCAGGCCTAGCGTTGCCAAGAAAAGGTCGAGCAGTGGATGTCGCAAGGAATGATTCAGTCCTTATGACGCGACTGGGCTTAAAGTAGGTACGATCTTGATAAGCGTTGGCTAACCCGACTCAAGACACTTCTGGACAATGTAATCGGATTTTTAGACGGGAATGCGGAATGTGGTGGGCGAGGAGGAGGAGGAGGATGATAGGTGATGATGATAATGTGGTGGCAGGCCGGAATCGGAAATGAACCCCGGTGTTGAATGGCGAGCCGAGAAAGGCGAATGTTGGAATTGATGAGTCTCGAAGAGGAGGGGAAAGAGACAGAAATCTGGAGAAAGGGATCTGGGGAGGAGGTGATATAAGAAAGGAGAATCGGAAGAGTGAGAAGGAGGAATGGAGGGGAAGAAGAAAGAAACGGAGCTCGGGGGAGGGGAGGAGGGAAGGGAGAGTCGTAGAGGGGTGGGTTTATCGGAATCGGAGGACAAGAAGGGGAAGAATGGGTAAGAGTGAAAAAAAGGGCAAAGAAAAAAAAAGGTAAAAGAAAAAAAAAAAAAAAAGAGTGAAAAAATGTACATTGTGTGGGGATAAATATCGGGGGGGCAAAAAGCAGGCTCTGGAGACTAGTTGAATGAAAAGGGAAATAAGAACGTGCTTTCCGGCCAAACCTGATCGGCTGCTGTCCTTAAAGAGGATTCAACCGGTCACTCTTACCAGCCTGATGGGACACCTGTTTTTACATATACCTTCCAATGTTTCTTTTTTACAGAGTACATATCGGACGAATAGAATTTCAATACGATGGTCCTTGATCTGACTTTAAATGTGTCTCAATGCCATGAATAGGCTGTATTTCTTATTGTTGTAGTTATGGTTTATAAGCAAGCAATTGACATTCAACTCTTCAATACGTTGCCTATCTCGGGTCTCTTCCGTCGCCTGATTTTCGGACCACGCACGGTGTGTGAGAGAAGAAAAAAAAATCCACTATGACCAACCGGGAAGGGAGACGCTCAGAACAGGTGAGGGTAACGAAAAGAGTAAGAAAGGAGGAGAGAGAGAAAAAAAAGCAGAGAGAGAAAAGAAAAAGAATGTGGGGCTAAACTAGAGTCGATAGAGGTTACGGAGTAGAAACTGGAACTGCAGAAGTGGCTGTGTGGCCTGGAGAAGTGCGTGCCCGGTATTATCGGGTGTTGGACCGTTGGTATGGAGTAAGTTCCAGTAGGTAAGTAAGGTAAAGTAAAGTAAAGCAAAGCAAAGCAAAGCAAAGCAATGCTCAGCTCAGCTCAGCTCAGCTCAGCTCAGCTCAGCTTCGTATGATAAATGTAGAAGGTGAACTGAACCTCCAGGCTCTCAGTCTTCCACCCCTTTTCATCTACAGTCATAAACCGGCTATCGCGGATGCCCTCTGGGTGGAAATGAACGAGTGTGATGTATGATAAGATATCATTGTTGTTGGTAAAGGCCCCCCCGCCCCTTTCACCACCACCACCACCACCACCATCATCATCCTTTCCCCTCCCTCACAATTCTCGCTCTCCACCATCCAGGGCAAAAGATCTGGTGGTGATCAAAGAGAGCTCGATTACGTGATTGTGTTCCGCAAGTCGGATAATGCACACACATGGATACCTGAGCTCTTCAGCCAACCTTTCTTTTCCCATGTGATAGCTACACACTATTGACTTGAAAAGGTGGGTGCATCCCCTATCTCGCCCACCATGAACATGATTAGACTTCTGGGAGGGTAAGATGCTGTATTGGAACTCAACCAGCTCTCTCTGCGTGATACGGTCAGATGGTGGGGGAATGGGGGGTTGAGTAAAGGTAGAATATCCCCAATCAACCACCCCCCGATGCTGTCCCTCCCCCCCAAACTCGCCGCCCCCGGCCCCATCAAATCCTCCCTCCGTCCATCTTCCCCAAGGGTCCCTTCCCCAGATGATGCCATCCTGTTGTGATGAGATGAGAGTCGATGATGAAAAGATGAGGTGATTGGCGCTACGAAGGGGGATCATCCAGTATTTCTTTTCCTAGGGAGGGTTTGTTATTTGTCGGTTACAGTATTTCTTTTTTGGGGTTTTTGCTTTGTGCTTTGGGTTTTCTTTTGGCAAACCCTTTCCAGTTCCCTCAACTAGGAAGTCCGGGGCATACCCGGGGGAGACCAAGAAGAAAAAAAAAAGAAAAAAAGAAAAAAAGAAAGAGAAAAAGAATTGTTCGACAGATCTTCAGAACCGCCCAGTCCAGACCAGCTGATCGACCGACATTCAGGCGAGGGTTGGTTAACTGAGAATCTTAAGATAAGTCCATAGGCAAGCTGAGGAGACGGTCTGGGGTTCGAATGTAAGGTTTCCCAATGACATTTCTCCGTGACGGAAGCGGTGATCATGCCAAAAGGGCTGGGTAGGGCAGAAGCGGGACGCGGAGTCAACAAGTCATACGATGGGCGAGATCCAATACATCATCATTGTCCTCATCCTCATCGGTGAGGGCGGGGGAGGGAAGGCGCCCCAGAGGGGGGAGGTTTTTTGATGAGGCTGTTGGATTGTTGGCGACGGCAGCCACAGGGCGAATTGGAAGGGCGACGAAAAAGAGCCGGGATGACATGCCATGCGGGTAAATGGCGAACGAGCGGCCATCCGTCGGCATTTCCTTATTATTGTGGGGGAAGAAGAAAAAATAAAGCCAGCATTGCATCAGTCATCAACCATGGATGGCTCATCAGCCCTTCCTTTCCTTTCCCCATGAGTCAGAACAGCGGACGAGGCGACACAATACAACCCCACAAATTCAGCTGCCTCCGGATATTACTCATATTAACAGGTGTTGATTCGAGTAGAAAACGGGGAAGGCTGCATTCTCTTCTTTTTTTTTTTTTTTTACCCTTTCCTTCTCAGCGCTCTTAGTGCTGAAGGCGCCTAGAACCAGGCAGGTAGGCAGGCAGGCATGAATGATGGCTGCGACGTGGGTGATGCGCAGCGAAGGTATGCGCTAAATCATGTGGTCGACGCACACACACATACAGGGTCGACGAGAATCGCAATCGCAATCGCACATCATATCTGTGCAAGATAGGGGCGGTCATCTTTGGAGTAGGATACACTAGTTATGATATCCTTTAATTAACCGACTGTCAAGCTTCGCAGGTGCGATTAACCCGTTTGTGACGCGCACTCCCCCCCCCCCCCCCATGTAGCCCGGAATCGAGGCCTCTCACAACCCCCTGGCCTAGCGCTTACTATTCCCACCGCATCGGAGGGGACCCTGCATTGTTTCATCGGTGCCAGGCGTCTACAGGAGATTTTCCGCTGGTGATATTGACAGGGGGGAAAGGGTGATTACTCAGTACCTCAAGACAGAAAGACGAGGAGTAATCCTCAGGAGGGGCCGAAAGACGACTAAATGTTGATCCAACGCAAACTAGAATCAAGTCCGGAAATTGAACTCCGCAATAGATTATCCCCAGGTCCCAGACCACTTCTAATCTCCCTAAAGCTCTGCCACCGCCGTGGACGGAGTGAATTTCCCCGGACGGGCGAACGAGGGATGTTTAGTTAGGGGAGGGGGGGGGGGGGGGGGAGCCTAAGGAGGTTCATCCGACAAGGGAAATCCCCGTGCGGGAACTCTGCTTGCTGATATGAGGAGGGGACAGAACCGGGCGTATAATGAACCCGCCACCAATCCGACTTGACTAATGATATTGTCTGATTGTCGCATGATACTCTTAAGCGACTGAAGGAATAGTAATGAGACTATGGAGGAGGAGGACCCTAAGCCCAAGCGTCATCCGGGATAAAGTAAGATACGGGTTTTCGGCAACTCCAGCCAGCCATTAGACAATCTGCGAACCACTGGTGTACGGTGCATTCTCTGCTCAATGCCCGGGTGGTGGTAAAAGCAATCACATGTCACTATACGATGATGGATCTTATCTTCATGCTTCTCAACGCAATCGCCGGCTGATAGTTTCCGCTCTCTCACACCAGGGTATGGTTCTTGGTATGTAAGGGGCAATGGGCCGCTGGGGTTAGTATTTGAGAGAGGAATGTGGGTACTCACGTACTTCTCTCGAGAATATACTTGTACTAGTTATGATCTATGACGAAAGGACAGGTTGAAGGACCGAAGAGTCAAAAGCGAGTATGCTCAGGGCAAGGGCAATAACATTAAAATTCGTAATTAGGATGAATATCCGGGAAATCGGAACACATCCATGCACCAAGCCGTCTGGGCAGTTCTGTAGATCGCAGATAACCCCAACCCCGAGGGGTCTGGGGAGGGAGGAGGAGAAGGGGGGTGCAACCTCAATCTGGTCCACTAGAATGGATATCACAGTCACAGTGCCGCAGGAGAACGTGAGACTGAAAACGCCTGTCCATTGACCTTTTGACGATAAAACAATACCAGATGCACTGGCTGTATTTCATCGACCGCATAGTAAATTGTCTTAACGCCGATGTGAGCTTATCGCAGGGATCGCAGGACCGATGATACGTAGGGCAAGGGCAAGGGCAAGGAGGTGGTCGGTAGAGCCGACGGAGAAAAGCTCCCCGCGGTTGATATCGTGGCCGTGGCGGTTTCCCTGGGTCTGATAGGATAAACTCGGCTGTCTGGGCTGTGATCTGGAACCCACCCCCACGACCCCGCCTGACCTGAAGGTTTACCCGCCTAGAGAGGAAGGAATGGCGACCCGGAAGAATTATGAGTGCCATTTGGGAAAGGTCAATACCTAGCCTGTCTATGAGTTATTGTTTACTAGATTATGAGATCTGTGAGATAAGGCAGGCAAAAGTACGGAGGTATTGCCCCTACGGGGAGGTCTAGGATATCGAACACGGGGTCACAGGGCTATCGATTTGTAGGGCCTAGAGCAACGCTCAATGATCATCTGCTCGACCTTATCTGGCAGAATATCTTGCTTCTTTCATGCTCTGCGTCCGGAGGAGGGGAAGAGAGGAAGGGGGGAGGAAGGAATGAGGTGAGAATGAGATCAGCTGCAAAATCCCAGCTGAACGCCTTCTCATCCTTCTCATGGCTGAAATAGCTGATGCCGGGCCGACTGCCGGCGCTTTGCCGGCCAGCAGGACGGACGGCACCAAGTAGGGTAAAGCATGCACTGTGTGGGCTCAAGGCTCCAGACTCCCCCGGTGAGTCTGCGATAACCAGCAAAAAGCGAAACCCCACCCCCATTGATTATTCTCCAGGCTCCAGCTTTGGGTTGGTGGAACAAATGGGGGAGCAGAACTGGGAGATGGTACGCAGGTACGGCACCAAGACTACGTAAGTTGCCCCCTCAAGCTAGTCGCCGACTTGCTTAAGCTACATATTACCTAGTCAATCACACAATCAATAGTTAGTTGTTCCAATACTACCTCATATTGTCATTTATCGTCGCCATCGTGCTAATGAGTATTCCCGCATTTTGCCGAACGGTCATCGGCGGAAGAAAATTTCTTCATCACGAATTGGCCGATAGAGTCGAATAATTCGATTAGGAAAATACTCGAGCAGCAAAGGCCGTGTGTTATTTTGTTACGTCCAACAACATTACATGACTAATGCTGATTTTCCTATCAACATAATGATTTTCAACCCTATGAAGTAGGCGCTCTGAGATGGCGAACGGTTAGTTTTCCCCACAGAGATCTCTAACTCCACCTAAATCTAAGCAACTTTACATAGTTATTCAAAGAAAAGGGGGGGGGACGGAAACGAGGAAAAAAGCAAAAGCAAGAAAAAAAAAAGAATGAAAGATCAGGCGTCGTTGACCCCATGATCTTTGTTGCGCCCGGCACCAGCACATCCCCAAAATGACGGAAGATCTTCCCCGCGATGATCGCGGGACATGATCTACACTCGCATTCGGTAGGTCCTCTATCCGGAAATGGTCATCCATCTGCTCTGCACTGCCTAGTAGAGTAAACTCTGCTCGAAGGACCCGATGTCGCATGAATTCGATGGAGTCAAAGAGTGGAAGCATTCTAGCGCAGAACAGTAGTCAATTAGTTGCAGATAAACCCTGGCCGGCACCATGGCTGAAAAGTACCTATGCAGAAGCACGCCTCGTTTCTGTCGCAGAGTGAAAAGGCGAGGATTGGCGCGTCGCGACTCGCTAGAATGGGTGTGCTGTTGTCATACAATCGCTACAGTAACTAGTAACGGCAACCGCCTTTGCAGGCTGGACAAGGGACGTGGGCAATGTGTTGTATTCTCATGAACCGCTCGACGATCATTACCATGCTCAGTCGGGGAGATTGTTCATTCATGCTCCATTCTCATTCCCACGACAATGTCTGGCCATCAGCAACTCCATCTTCGATTCTATGCATGCATCCACACATTGGGAGAAACTCGAGTTCCAGTCTGGCATCCCAAGCTAGCATGGACAGATTCCGCGCAAGGAGACGAGATGTGCACGATAAGTTAGTATACGTACGCTGCCAAGGCCATCTCTTCAAAGGAAACGGCGGCAAGACCCTCAATCATGCACTAATCACATCGGCAAAAACGAGATAATCCTGAGTCATCTATAGGACGACTGTAGCACAGCTGAATGCTCACTACGGGCCAATCGACAAGCATATCGTGCATAGCGCCTGCAACCAGGGACTCCCTAACTAGCCGCGCTGTCGCTTTTCGTGTTGCCTGATGCCTCTCGGTGTGGGTTAAATTATCATTTTGTATGGTGTCAGACCATTGCGCCAACGCACATGCATGCTCTTATCGTGTTTCAGCCGGTAAAAATAATTATCCACCTCCTCAATCGGGGTCTGAAAAGTCAAGCAAGCTGCACTCAATCTAGTGGTGTCGCTTTGCCCTTTTACACATCCAGCCATAGCCTATTAAATCCGGGTATGGGAGCAAATACGACTGGGAGGTACGAAGTAGAGAATGACAATCTGCATAGACCGCAGAAAGACAATTGTGCAGAATGCATTGGCTACCCCGAGGAAAAGACAGACAATTCGAGACTCTCAGGCTGCATAGTCCTCCTTGGTCTCTGCCTTGCGGTAGGTGTTTCACATGTGGAACCCCGTGCTACCTTCAAGGACAGCTGAGACCCAACCACGGCACGCTCTCACTCATTGTATCTCAACTAGCTCGACGGCAATATCAACATGAATGATTGATATGAGTCTGCAGTACTCTGTACTGCAACAAATGAGGAAGACTTTTACACAAGCCATGTACATGAGATTGTCTGATTCGCCACGGCCAACACGGAAGCGCCTTATCTGGTTCAAAGCAAGCTAAGTACTCATCAGACTACTTCC